CACAGAGCAGGGTTTAGTAACGACAATTCTCCATGATACAATATAGCAAAATTGGCTTTGCTAAATGTCGTCCATACTGTTTATTATAAACACAGAGTTTATTTAAATATTTGTATCTATAAAAAGAACGTATCAACATAAAAAAAATGTCTTAAAATAATTGTTTGACTTTGTCTATTTCATAATATATATATATATATATATATATATATATATATATATATATATAGTGGACTCTATCGTCGTATTCGATGCATGAGAGTCAAGCAGATCAGGTCCTAGGAACAGACAGCCCAGACACCAGTATATAAGATTTGATTCGTTGTCAAGTTTTTTGAATTCTCATATACTTGAATTTTGATTGGTCATTGCAGCTTATGTAACAAAATTTCCCTTATCGACGTCTGTTTCAGATGGCTATTTTTGTAGTGAATTTTTAACATGTTTATTTTATAATAAATTATATATATATATATATATATATATATATATATATATATATATATATATATTATGAAATGGACAAAGTCCGACAATTATACATATTATTTTAGTAAATGGTCTGTTTTTATAATAAACAGCAATGATAACATTTACCGGGTTAAATTACTAAATGTCCGAGAAATTTTCATAGAAAATATTCGTTCTCCGACAGGAATCGCACCTGTATCCAATAAGGAACCGTCATTTAGCCTGACGTGCCTTAACCGATCGAGCCACGGAGAATCGTTCGATTAGCAAGGTCGAGTTGACTGTTTTTAAATTCCAATCTTCCATGAATCTCTCACGCATATTCATGACTGTTCAATTATTTTAAGACATTTTTATTTTTATACATTCTTTTTACAGATACAAATATTTAAGGAATATGCTCTGTTTTTATAATAAACAGTATTAAACAACATTTACCGGCCTGAATGTACGAGAAATTTTCATAGAAAATATCCGTCCCCGACTGGATTCGAACCTGTATCCTATATGGAATCGTCATTTAGCTTGACGTGCCTTTACCGATTTGGACACGAAGGAGCGTTCGGTTAGCAAGGTTGATTTTACTCTATTTAAACTTCAATCATCCATGAATCTCTCACGTACATTTATATCTGCTCATGGCGTATCAAATGTAAACAAATGACGTCATACATGACATGTACAAAGTCCGACAATTAGTTTAAGACATTTTTATGTTTATATATTCTATATATATAATTGAAATAATTTTAGTTATAATTTTCTGAAGTTTCTGATTTGTTGATTAACATTTGCCCTCTTATATTTAGCTCTCGGGATTTATATCCTCCCTGGAATTTTCCATACGGATTAACTTTATCATATATATATATATATATATATATCGACGTATGAGGATCTGACAGCTTAGTTGATTCAGTTATGAAATTTCATGCGATAATCTTAAGTGGCATTTAAGAGCCGCTAGTGATTTGCAAAGGAGGCCACATATGAAGTAAGTCTGAGGATTGTGAGATGAGATGTTTATTACAATGTTTCGGCCTTTAGGTATCTGTCTATATTTCTGAGATGAGGTATTATGTACACTACTTACATTATTCAATCTATTCTCCTCATCTTTGTCGCCATATTTATTACAACGTTTCGGCCCTTCAGTATCTGTCTATATTTCTGAGATGAGGTATTATGTACACTATTTACATTATTCTATCTATTCTCCTCATCTTTGTCGCCATATTTATTACAACGTTTCGGCCCTTCAGTATCTGTCTATATTTCTGAGATGAGGTATTATGTACACTATTTACATTATTCGATCTATTCTCCTCATCTTTGTCGCCATATTTATTACAACGTTTCGGCACTTCAGTATCTGTCTATATTTCTGAGATGAGGTATTATGTACACTATTTACATTATTCGGACTATTGTCCTCATCTTTGTCGCCATATTTATTACAACGTTTCGGCCCTTCAGCATCTGGTATATTTCTGAGATGAGGTATTATGTACACTATTTACATTATTCTATCTATTCTCCTCATCTTTGTCGCCATATTTATTACAACGTTTCGGCCCTTCAGTATCTGTCTATATTTCTGAGATGAGGTATTATGTTACACTACTTACATTATTCGGACTATTCTCCTCATCTTTGTCGCCATATTTATTACAATGTTTCGGCCCTTCAGTATCTGTCTATATTTCTGAGATGAGGTATTATGTACACGTTTACATTATTCAATCTATTCTCCTCATCTTTGTTGTCATATTTATTACAACGTTTCGGCCCTTCAGTATCTGTCTATATTTCTGAGATGAGGTATTATGTACACTACTTACATTATTCGGACTATTCTCCTCATCTTTGTTGTCATATTTATTACAATGTTTCGCCCTTTCAGTATCTGTCTATATTTCTGAGATGAGGTATTATGTACACCATTTACATTATTCGGACTATTGTCCTCATCTTTGTCGCCATATTTATTACAACGTTTCGGCGCTTCAGTATCTGTCTATATTTCTGAGATGAGGTATTATGTACACTACTTACATTATTCAATCTATTCTCCTCATCTTTGTTGTCATATTTATTACAACGTTTCGGCCCTTCAGTATCTGTCTATATTTCTGAGATGAGGTATTATGTACACTACTTACATTATTCGATCTATTCTCCTCATCTTTGTCGCCATATTTATTACAACGTTTCGGCGCTTCAGTATCTGTCTATATTTCTGAGATGAGGTATTATGTACACTATTTACATTATTCGATCTATTCTCCTCATCTTTGTCGCCATATTTATTACAATGTTTCGGCCCTTCAGTATCTGTCTATATTTCTGAGATGAGGTATTATGTACACTACTTACATTATTCGGACTATTCTCCTCATCTTTGTCGCCATATTTATTACAATGTTTCGGCCCTTCAGTATCTGTCTATATTTCTGAGATGAGGTATTATGTACACTACTTACATTATTCGGACTATTCTCCTCATCTTTGTCGCCATATTTATTACAATGTTTCGGCCTTCAGTATCTGTCTATATTTGAGATGAGGTATTATGTACAATTATTTACATTATTCGGACTATTCTCCTCATCTTTGTCGCCATATTTATTACAACGTTTCGGCGCTTCAGTATCTGTCTATATTTCTGAGATGAGGTATTATGTACACTACTTACATTATTCAATCTATTCTCCTCATCTTTGTTGTCCATATTTATTACAACGTTTCGGCCCTTCAGTATCTGTCTATATTTCTGAGATGAGGTATTATGTACACTATTTACATTATTCGATCTATTCTCCTCATCTTTTGTCGCCATATTTATTACAATGTTTCGGCCCTTCAGTATCTGTCTATATTTCTGAGATGAGGTATTATGTACACTATTTACATTATTCAATCTATTCTCCTCATCTTTGTTGTCATATTTATTACAACGTTTCGGCCCTTCAGTATCTGTCTATATTTCTGAGATGAGGTATTATGTACACTACTTACATTATTCAATCTATTCTCCTCATCTTTGTTGTCATATTTATTACAACGTTTCGGCCCTTCAGTATCTGTCTATATTTCTGAGATGAGGTATTATGTACACTACTTACATTATTCGGACTATTGTCCTCATCTTTGTTTCCATATTTATTACAACGTTTCGGCCCTTCAGTATCTGTCTATATTTCTGAGATGAGGTATTATGTACACTACTTACATTATTCGATCTATTCTCCTTATCTTTGTCGCCATATTTATTACAACGTTTCGGCCCTTCAGTATCTGTCTATATTTCTGAGATGAGGTATTATGTACATTATTTACATTATTCGGACTATTGTCCTCATCTTTGTCGCCATATTTATCCCAACGTTTCGGCCTTTCAGTATCTGTCTATATTTCTGAGATGAGGTATTATGTACACCATTTACATTATTCGGACTATTGTCCTCATCTTTGTCTCCATATTTATTACAACGTTTCGCCCCTTCAGTATCTGTCTATATTTCTGAGATGAGGTATTATGTACACTACTTACATTATTCGATCTATTGTCCTCATCTTTGTCGCCATATTTATTACAACGTTTCGGCCCTTCAGTATCTGTCTATATTTCTGAGATGAGGCATTATGTACACTATTTACACTGTGCGTCACTGTAGTTTTGAGCTGGTACGCTACTCACCATTCCTCTGATTTGACTATCATCTGTTCCCCAACATGAAAATAAAACATGGCTGGCAAACAATATCGCAGTGAAGCTGACGTCATATCTGCAGTTGAAGATTTTTGACCATCAGGATGAAACATTCCTCACCAATGGGTTCTAAACTTTGCAACACCGATGGAAGAACTGCGTAGATTGCAAGCGGGACTATACTGACAAATAAACCTCATTTGGTGACATTGCATTTGAGTAGCTTCCTCAGTCAATTTTCTTAATCAGTTTGCTGTAATCTTCAACTAAATTAACAAAAAGGCTCCGCGGAGACATTCTCCTACGCTCTGGACAAATGACTTGTTGGACGGACGTAACTCGGCTATAAAGACAAGCAAAAGAGTAACCTCTCAGCTGTCAGATTGAAAAAAGAGAAAGTTTTAGTTTAAACTACAGATCATCCTGGTTCGTGATGCTGTATTTTGAATTTTTTTTTTTTTTGTTACTTGTATCAAGAGGTGAATAGAGATCAGATTGATGTTTTTCCTTAATGTACTAATCGATCGCCTTCATACCCGGCTGATCGATTTTACTAAAACACACACGTACATAAAAAAAAAAAAAAAGTTTTCAAACAAAAACAGTGGCCAATAAATCGAATAAAAGATTTCAGTAATTTCCTCGTTTCTTCTTTATCGGTTGCAGTGAAATGTTTTTTTTTTTGCTTTTTGTTTCTTTTCTTTCCTTTTTTTTTTTATAAACGCAACCTGTTTGTTTATCAATAGTGAGCGCCTGGCAAAGTCGGTCTGATGGCCGATTAATAATTCAGACTGGCACACCGTCGACATCTCAAACAATGACAGTGCCGGAGTATCAATTCAGGCTATCCGTGTCTTCCAAAATTCTGCACTCTTGTTAGATTGCATCACTGACGATTTTCAAATCGTTTCAAATTTTTAACTTACAAGTCATTATTTTAATCAACCAACAGAGAGTATCTGTTTCTGGATTAATTACACTACAATTTAAAACGTTAAGAACACCCCACGCGATTTCCTTTTAGTTGCCCCCCACCCCAAAGTAGTTGTTTTATAATTTAAATGAGGGAAAATTTAGAATACAGACGGTGTCTTGCTACAATGTGAGTGGCATAGCAGATCCTGGCCATGAAGTTTAGAACTAGCTGAACTAAAGGATGTACTTCGTCTGAGAACTTTCCATGGAAGTAACGATATCGCAGCGAGAGGATTGAAACATCCAGTCTGTGAGTAAACGGTTGCAGGGTAGAAAATAATCTGTCACCCACAAGGACGTGGAGAGAATCTTGGACGCTATCGAAACTTGAACGTAAGAACTAGGCAAGTTTTAGTTTAATATAACAGCAGTATCATCCTGATCTGTCTGCTTGTACTTTGATTTTTTTTTGGCACAAGGAACCAGGTATCATAGAGAGAGAAGTACAGGGAACCAGAGCATTTATCTTTCTTTAGCGATGGTCATATGTAAGATCTCTATCTATCCATCCATCCCACCCCTCTTCCATTCATTTTATCTAAAATCTATCCATCTATCTATCTATCTATCTAAAAATCTCAGCCTTTCCCATCCATCCATCCATCCATCCATCCATCCAATCTATCTATCCCAAAAGATTTCCCATCATCTATCCATTCATCTATTCTTCTTTATCGGTTGCAGGAAATGCCCCTTTTTCTGCTATCTTTATCTTCTATCTTCCATCCCAGCCTTTCCCCATATCTATCTATCTATCCTATCTATCCATCAATCTATCTCAGCCCCTTCCCCAAAGTCTATCTGATGGCCATCCATCTATCTATTTATCTATCTATCTATCCATCGACATCCTCTTCCCATCAATCTATCTATCTATCTATCTATCTATTCATCTATCCGTCTATCTATCTAAATCAGCCTCTTTGTTAGATTGCATCATCACATCTATCTCAAATCTTCCCATCTATTTTCTATCTATCTATCTATCTATCTATCTTTCTATCTCAACCAACAGATCTATCTATCTATTATCTATCATCTATCTATCTATCTATCATCTATCTATCTATCTTATACTGTTAATCTCCTATTTTATACTGTTCCTCGTTATCTGTCTCCCTTATACTTTTCATATCTATCTAATAATGTTAAATATCTATCTTATACTTTTCAATTCATCTATCTATCTATCTATCTATCTATCAATCTATCTATCTATCAAGAACTTAGATACCCATGTTCAATGATTACTTTTCTATCTATCTATCTATCTATCTATCTATCTATCTATCTATCTAACTTCCTATCGCATCTATTCTATCATTGATCTATCTATCCATCTATCTATGACAAACGGTTCCTATCTATCTATCTATCTATCTATCTATCAAGAACTTAGAGAGAATGTTCAATGATTAAACTTGAATCTATCTATCTATCTATCTCCTATCTTATATAACAGTTAATCTCTATTTTATACTGTTCCTCGTTATCTGTCTCCCTTATACTTTTCATATCTATCTAATAATGTTCATATATATCTATCTTATACTTTTCATATCTATCTATCTATCTATCTATCTATCTATCTATCTATCTATCTATCTATCTATCAAGAACTTAGATACCTATGTTCAATGATTACTTTTCTATCTATCTATCTATCTATCTATCTATCTATCTATCTATCTATCTATCTATCTCAGCCTCTTCCTATCTATCTATCTATCTATCTATCTATCTATCTCAGCCACTTCCTATCTATCTATCTATCTATCTATCTATCTATCTATCTATCTATCTATCTATCAAGAACTTAGATACTTATGTTCAATGATTACTTTTCATCTATCTATCTATCTATCTATCTATCTATCTATCTATCTATCTATCTCATTCCTATCTATCTATCTATCCTATCTATCTCTATCTATCTATCTATCTATCTATCTCAGCCCATTCTATCTATCTATCTATCTATCTATCTATCTATCTATCTATCTATCTTATACTGTTAATCTCTATTTTATACAGTTCCTCGTTATCTGTCTCCTTATACTTTTCATATCTATCTAATAATGTTCATATATATCTATCTTTTCATACTTTTCTATATCTATCTATCTATCTATCTATCTATCTATATATATATATATATATATATATATATATATATATATATATATTGAACAATAAGAAAATAATAAAATTAAAATCTTTAGACACACTGGGTTTGTAGATTAATATTCTTTCGTTTTTTTTTTATTATTCTTCCATTTAGATTCCTCGACTAGTTTCGACCGAAATGACCATCATCGGGAGAAGAAATAGTTCTGCTTGCTGGTAGAAGTAAACTACAGAAATGAATGTCTTGCTGGAGAAAATGAACTTTTGTCTATAGTTTTCATTTATTTTTTTTTTATTTTTGTATCTTTTTAACATGAATCTTTTAACATTCCTTGTGTTGGTCAAACAGTCTCTTTTAAGTTGTTATTTGAGATAAGAGCTGGATAGATACATGTTACTCTGAATTCTCTGGTCAGTTTGACAGTTTTATTGGACCTGGTGTGGGGATGTGTCTCTGTTTAGTGTTTGTGTGTGTGTTATTTGGTTCTTAGGGTGTGAATGAGTATGATATGTGTAAGCGTGTGTATTGCTGTAGGTGTGTGTTATCATTTGGCTCATTAGGGAGTGGGTGAGTACGATGTGTGTAAGGGTGTATATTCGTGTGGGTGTGTGTATATGTGTGAGACCTCCACACCTCCGTAAGCATGACTGTCTTGTGTGGATCAGAAATGTGGGTAGGTTTTGATTTGTTGAGTTATATATTGTTACTATCTATATATTGTTAAATTTATGATTTAGCCCGGCTGGGTATTTTTTTTTTTACACGTTGTATCCACTTATTTTCATGGGACTCTAAAATATTTCTAATGTTATCTGCTCTGAACTTTTCTATTCTCTCAATTATAGTGAATTTGGCATGGGTTTTGAAATCATGTTTTTCCAGGCGGAAATGTTGTTCTACAGGTAATAATTTTTCATGGGGAATCGACTTAATTCGATTACAATACTTATTAATTATGTAGTTAAAGGGCCATTCAGATTTTCCTACATATTGTTTCTGGCATAGTGTGCATTCTAGGAGGTAAATTATGTTATGACTTCTACAGCTAGAATCGTGGTAGATTTTGAAAGTAGATTTAGTGATTGCGCTAGTGAATGAATTCGTGTTTTTAATATGGTTGCAACATAAACTTCTTTTGTTGTTACATGGTTGGGAAAATCCTGTTGTTTTGGTTCTTAGTTTATTACGGATTACCTTGTCCCCTGAAATGTGGTTACTACCTATGATTTCTTTTAGGTTCTTAGGTCTACGATATGCAAGAAGGCTGGGTTCCTTAAACAGTTTTTTTTAGGTCTGGTTTGAGATGTAGTATTTCCCAACGACGTTTGATTATTTGGGATAGTGGAGGCAGAGTGGGGTTGAAAGTGGTTACTAGAGGAATGCGGCTAGATTTATTTTTAATCCTGTACATTAGGGTGTCTTCTCTAGGTGTGGAAATTGCTTTATTTATTTGTTCCCTGATTAGGTGTTGTTTATAGCCACGTGCTGTGAATTGATGCTCCAGATTTTCAATGTGTTTATTTAATTCTTCATTGTTGGAACATATCCTTCTGAGTCTAAGTGCTTGTGAATAGGGAAGGTTCTCTTTGAGGTGTTTAGGGTGGGAAGACTTAAAGCGTAGATAGTTGTGGGTGTCGGTTATTTTAGTGTGTAGTGTCGTATATATATATATATATATATATATATATATATATATATATATATATACCATATCTATATTCTAAATATTTCTTTATCTGTCTGTTTTTCTGTTTCTGTCTGTGTTATGATGTTGATTTGGGGTTAGTAGAGACAAACGCCAAATAACACGTAACAATAAAAAGGGTTTTAATAGGTTGGTGAAAAGGTACAGAAATCGCCTGAGTAGTCAATAACTAGCTCAGCTAAGAACTTCTCTGTCTATCTGTCTCTCCCCATGTCAACTGACATGACACTATTTAAAGTCTTTGTTCACTGACGAGTTCATCTTCCAGAGGGGTGGTAGGTTTCCGACACAACAATCTATCTATCTATCTATCTATCTATCTATCTATCTATCTATCTATCTGTTTGGTTATATCTATAAATCAATCTCAATCATTTCTTCAGTATTCATCTATTTATGCTTATATATCTCTATCTACGCGTGTTTATAAGTATCTATCTATCTATCTCTGTTCATATATATCTATTTATCTATCTTGTACTGTTTATATCTATCTAATACTGTTCCTATCTATCTATTTTTTACTGTTCATATCTAGCTTATAATGTTCATATATATCTATCTATCTCTATCTATCTATTTCTCTATCTATCTCATATTGTTCATATCTATCTTATACTGTTCCCATATATCTATCTTATACTGTTCATATCTCTCTATCTATCTTATACTGGTCATATGTATCTTATACTGTTCATCTCTATTTTATACTGTTCAACTCTATATATCTCATACAGTTCATCTCTATCTACCTTATACTGTTCATATCTATCTATCTATCTATCTATCTATCTATCTATCTATCTATCTTATACTGTTCGTATCTATCTATCTATCTTATACTGTTCATATCTATCTATCTATATATTCATCTATCTGTCTCTTTAAGTTAGTTTTTACATGAGCAAGGTAGGAAAGTCATTATAGCAGAAAATTGACCAACTACAAAATTCAATAAAATATTAACAATTCCTGTTACATTTTGGGAAAATATGTGCAAGACTTGGGTTGAAAGTATTACGCGAATATATAAAAAACTAAGCCAAAGTCAACAAAACGTGTGTGTCGCGTCTGCTACCATTTTGCAGCTCGTTTTAAAATATTGTCCTGTTTAAAGTACAGCAATTAAAAGGTGTGTCCACGCTTCTTTAAACCAGCCGATCAGAGGTCAAGTGGGTACGCCGGGTGTAGGTTGTCCTGCGTATGACGATAAACTACATACTGCAGCAATGGCTCTGATCAGGAGGATTTGAGGAACGTAGAACCACCATTTAATTGTTGTTGTGCCCAGGTCCACCATGACCCATGGTGGCAGCACCTGTTAGGGTCCCAGTTATGGGCATATAGTGAACCCTCCAAACTGGGGTCAAAACATGAAAATATAAAAATATATTATAAAAAATTACCAGTCACAGATTTTCATAGTTAAAGAATTAAAAAAAAATATATAAAAGTCCACAAGAAAAAAAAAAATGGCTATGAAATAGTCCATAAGAAGTTGACATGTTCTCAAACAAACTAAACCAATACAAAAAAAACCCAAGCCAAAGCTAAACCAAAACAAAGCCAGAGTCAAACCACAACCAAGCCAAACCAAAACCAAGCAAAAACCAAACCAAAACCAAACTAAAATCAAGCCAAGGCAAAGGCAAGTAAAAGCCAA